ACTTAGCATATTCAGGGTTGGTTAGCTCCAGGAAGATGAGATCCACCATGACAATAGTCTAATTCATACACCCTTTAAATACCTTAAGCTGTGGAATGTATATACTGCATTATCATTTCACCTCTCGCTAAAGCTCAGCTTTGTTCAGTGGCCATAGTGCACATATGAACACAAACCCTCACACTGAAGATACTTTGGGACACAGTGGATGGAGAAGTTTAGATTTTTCTACTGGCACAGGGCAGATGGGTGAGGCCTGCCATGCCTGGTCTGGTCTGCTACCATGCAGCCTATTTTTTTACAAGGAGAGATATGGATTACACATACCCTTCATTCAAAATACCCTCCTATCACTGAGGATGCACTGATCAAGAAACAAAGAGACTACTTCTGATGTGTGATGTGAAGTCAAGGAAGATATGGTTATGTGGCCTATTCCTTTGCCCAGGCTGCTAAGAAACCATAGCCATCCTCTGAGTGAACAATTAATGGAGAGCTGTATTTTTGGAGAGCTGTACATCAGTGGTGGTTTTGGTCTTGGCAAAGCATTACTCATTCTCACACAAAATGAAAGTATTCATTAGGAGGCATGCAGATTTGTATTTTCACATCTTTACACTTTATTTAGTCAGGGTTGCATGACGCAAGTAATCAGCTGGCTACTCATACATGGCAAGGAATTTGTTTCACAATTTGGCTTCTAGTGCCAGTTGCTATCCTTTCTAAGGACACCCCATTCATGAATCCAGCTGCAGGGAGCTCACATGCACCTCCCAAGGTTCCTGGGTAGCCAATTCTTGGTGCTAATCACCTCACCCTGCTGTTATCCACAGGCCTCGGAAATCTTGTTCTACGGAGGAAGGCTCCTACCTGTTGCCATCTTGTTTATTTATAAAGATAGTTCATAAAACCAAATCCTCTGCTGAGTTACAAAATGATCAAGGAAAGCCAAGTCCACTTTTCAGCCCCTCTGTGCTCTTGGCATTTCCTATTGATCTCCTACGTTTGCTCATTCCCCATTGTGACTCACAACAATTCCAGCAGCCAGTGCTCTTTGTTGGCACAACAGAGTCTTAGGCTATAAAACCTAGTGACGACTTGGAGTAGAAAATATGTCTGCCTTTCCAAGCTGCAGGTGAGATTTAGTTTAAGCTTTTATTTTAATGTACAGCTTACACTCATCTGATTTTGCTTCTCTCCTGGATATTACAGGTTACATAAACAATTGCAGGGAAGCGTGGAAGTCCCTCATGCAGTTCTTCCACTCTCACCTGCTATAAAAGGAGCTCTCTACCAGAAGCAGCACTTACCACAACCCTCCTGTTAAAGATCCTTGAATGGCTTTTGCAAGCTTAATTTCTGGTGGCATTTCTACAATGGGAATTGAGAAGATACTTATTGAAACTATTAAAATTTTATTAAAATAATTACAAATATGGCAACACATCTTCTCTAAATAGGATAGATGAAATATTTTAACCCCCAGACAGTCATAGCTTTACGTGTTACAGTTGCTTAGAGGGAAAACAACAATCTTTATAGTCTCCAAAAGAGGGAAAACTTGATATTATAACATTGTAGCTGCTCAAAAGTTTATGGAAAAAAAAAAAATCTTGATTTTAAAAGAGTCCTTGGAGCAGAAGTACAAAATTTCTCTTTCACCCTTCACCATTCCAAAACCTAAAGGAAAGAGAAGAAAGTCTTAAAACAGTCTTCCTCTCCTCCCCTTTGCAAATCTTTTAGCAGTTACTACAAATATTTTTTTGTAAAAGCAATGCCAAAACAAGAGACGAAGTAGACCTTATCTTCATGTAATTTAGACAACTATTCTTGGATGTTTATAAAATATTGCTACTAATGAGATTGCTAAAGCTTAGTCAATGGAAAGTTATGACAGAATTTGCAATTGTCGTGCTTGAAGAAAGCTTCATCTACTGCCAACCTACTGCAAACTCATGCTCTGGCCAGCATCACCCTCTGCCTGAGAATAAACTTTGTCTTCCCCCTTCTACTGTCCCCTGCCTGTGTAATTCAATCATAACTCAGTTCTTTGTGAAGGTGTCCCAGATTGCCAGGCAGGGAAGGCAGCACATTCTCCATAACCACAGGGACAGTCCCAGCCAAGCACACGTTCAGCCACATGAGAAACCCTCGGGTGACTGCTGGCAGAGCTGAGGGCTGTTGCAGCACCATCAGGAGAGCCCATGATAGGCTTTGTCCTTGGAGATTTAGATTCAGCCAAGCTTTCCTCTCTGAACAGCAGCACTGGGACATACAGAAAATAAATGAGTGGACTGAATTCTTACTGGGCTGCTGAAAGCACAGTGGATTTACTCCACCAAGAGGTACCTGGAACCAAAGTCCTTCATAGCAACATTTTGAATGAAGGAAGCATTTCCCTTTCAGCCACTGAAACCAAGTGAAATCTATCAATTTACAAGAATGATTTTTAGAAACATTACTTCATATGTGTAGCAGCAGGTGGGTTTCAGAACACATGCAGCACTCTCCAACTATACAACCACCCTTCTGTTTCATTTTTTGTTTTAAAGAGGGACAAGAAAATTTTTTAAACTTCTAAGAAGAGATGAGGGGTACTGACAGAAGTACTAAAAATAAAACCAAGAAACTCCTAGCCTGCCACCCTCAAAAAAAAAAAAACAACAAACCAACAACAAAAAAACCCAAAACAAACCAACAAAAAAACCCACAGAATCAACCCACAAAGCAAGTTTTACATCCACAAATTGAATAAACTCCACCCTTTGAGCTTCCTAAGGACCTAACAAAAGAGTAATGATTGTTTCTTTAGTGAATGTCAGTCATAAAAGTGTTGGGGTTTGTGAGCTGGACTGAAATCTTTAATGGGAGACCCTCTGACACATACAGGGCCATGGCAGTGCAAGAATTAAAGGCTAGAGATGACAGGTATTTTGTTGCTCAGTACTTTCACAGAAGATATTCTTATAATTTTGAACCGAAGTTTTGCTTTCAGGTTTTCAAACTTAGAGAACACTCTCAAGCCTAAAAACTTCATGGAACTGACATGACACAAAGTTACCAAGCATTTCAGTAGTGCTACAATCTGCATGTACCTTTTCTGTGCCTACACAGCTGGTACTTGAAGGGTCCAAAACACAGAGTATCTCACTAACACAGTATCTCACTTCTGGGATGAGATTATTTTAAATCTGTACTTTTAATTCTTTCAGTCAAAGGAAAAACTGCATGCGGGTCCTTTCCCCGCTGTTTACAAAGAAACATTCCAATTTTATCTCATTTAAAAATTCTTTAATTATTACACAACTGCACTTCTGTGATTGTGTTAACAGGGAACATGGCTATTACACAATCTGGGTTGTTCTAAAGTGACTGCTTTGGGGCTGTAACAATATAGAGTGAATCTACAGATTGCAATTTAATCAATCCCTTGATAGAAAACTTGGGGAATAAGGAACTTGGCATAGAGCATGCTCAGCCTTATGAAACTGCTCTCCAAAAGCAACTTGTTAACTTCAGCTGTGTTTCAGACTCCTCATCCCCATCCTAGGAACCAATGTTATACATAAAGTGAATCTTTGTGCTGTAGACCAGCTTTCTTGGACCATGGTTACAGACCAGCAGCAATCTTTTAACTGCTTATTGCCACTGCTTCTTAAATTCCAGTTGCTCAGCCAAGGAAGGGACCTTTGAAGGCCAGAGCTCAACTCCCTCCTCAAAGCAGGTTTAGGTCTATCAGGGTGCTGAGGTACTTAGTAAATCCAGAGGAGGAGACTGCATATCCTTTCTGGGTGACTGCTTCTAGTGCCTCATGATCTTTTAGGTAATAAAACAGTATTTTGTTATTCCCACTTAAAATCTATCTGGATTTTTCCCATGTTTTAATTTGTGTCCATTGCCACTGATCCTGTCTCCATGCAGCTTGAAGACTTGTCTTGTTTACCCAGTAATACAACAGTAAAAAACCGGTCTTAGCCTTAAGGCTGAACATCAATACACTGTTTCTCCTTTCCCAGGCAACATGTAATTCCAGACAGTAAGCAGGAGTGCTGGCAAGCTGAAACAACTTTACACACATAGATGAATCCCAGAACTCAAGGAGTTAAGAGGGAAACAGGCACACAGCTGGAACAAGCTCAAGGTGAGTCATTGGTGTTTCCCTCAACCTTAAACACAAAACTGTATGCAGAGATAATGCCTCTTCCTTTCCAACATCTACACTCACCTCAGTGATCAGTCACTGTACCTGACAGAACTCAGAAAAAGGATCTGTGATTTCTCTTAAAGATACTGAGGCATATTCTGCAGTGCAAAGGTACTAAGGAAATCCAGGCAAGTGTGAAACAGTAGTTGAAAACCCCAGAAACTTACAAACCCCCTCCAAAATCCAATAGTTGAACTAGAGTTTTGCTCTTATATTTGCATCATTCATCTTAAGAACTTCAAATTTCAGAATGAAAGTTTTAAACCATATGCAGCTCACTTGTCAGGCCTTTTGTAATCCTCCCTCCCAAACAAAAATACTCCAAAGTTTACAACACAAGGCAAGATTATAAAAATTTGATTGCAAACAGTAAAAATTCTGAAGCATGAACACAAGAAGTCTACTCAAATTATTCTACATGTAGATTATGTTAGGTTTCACAGAACATACTGGCTGCAAGTGCCTTTTCCATGCTTCTCCCTGTAACAAACAATAACACGGAAGTACAGAAGAAGATTTTGGCTTGGCCACATGTTCAAACATGGTCTATTTGTTTGTTCCACACACTTCTAATTTTTTTTAACTTGCAACATTTGCAATAGGTAAGAAGAAATCTATAAATTCCTGCTTCCAAACTCAACCCAGAGAGCAAAAGCATCCTTTGGTACAAACAGACCTAACACAAGTGACATCCTAAATTTTGCAATATGTGGTCAAAAATTCTGTAGAATACTATTATGTTAAGAAGTCCTTATAAAACATAGGAATCTATTTAAATCAAAGACACACAGACTGATAAAAGTAGCCAATTTTATTCCAATAACATAAGCGCTAACACATAATTACTTTTCTCAAAAAGGTTACATATTTATGTGCTTTTTTAGTCAAATAAACAGATTTGTCCCCACTGTTGAAGTGTTTCAATAGAATCCAGAGTCTTGAGTGGCCCAGTTGGGTGCCTAAAAATGAATAAAGATTAGAAGAAATTACTATATTACCTAATACTTACTGAAATGTATAACCCATTAAACAGTGGGAATGTTGCTAATTATGAAGGATACCCTATAAGATTAAAGCCAAGTGTTCACATCCCTGACACACACACTGTAATTGAGCTGTACAGCTAGAGTCCTCCAAGCTAGTAGTTTCAAAAAGGAGAAGTTCTGGAAGATCCCAATATAAATATAGGAATAATTTCTCAGCTATAGTTTTAAAAGAAAGCAATGATACACAAGTTTCACCAAAACTTCCTATTAACAGAATAAAATGGTGCACCACTACCTGTCCAACTTCCACCAGTATTTCAGCCAAGCACTGAGGAAGCACAATAAAACTTATAATGTTTAAGCTCTTTTGCTGTGTAGCTTGTTCTGATTTTTGTTCGTGTTAAAGATGTACAGCTGGGCCTCAGAGCCACCCCCATTACTGTGCTGTTCTGCCTCACAGAGCTTCTCATATTGTAATATGGAGGGAAGCAAAACCAGATGATCTAGCCAATTTTCTCATTTTCACTGGTACTACTTGAAGCTTTCAATGACAACTACATTTTCTAGAATTTCACTTAACAGATTTAACAGTTAGGGTTTTGCACAATTCTTCCTCCATATTCCAATCTTGAGCATCATTCATTCTCCTTTCAATACCACATATACCCTTACAATACTTTTGAGTACAACTCACTTGGAAAAGTATTATAACTGCTTTCATAAGTGTCACACTTCATAATCTGCCCTTTCCTAGTGGTGAAGGAGACCATTTAAAAGAAGCAGAGCGGCAAATGACAGAAACAGTTATGCAACAGAATAAAATCTAATGATGAAGAGAAAGGCTAAAAAAAAGCAAGAAGCACTGTGTTTGTGGTCACTATGTCATTTCCAACATAATTCCTAATATTAGAACTAGGAGTAGGCACACCTGGTGAATTAAGGCATAGTTTAAGTTTTTATTCTGAAAATTATCTCTTAAAAAAGGCAAGAATTCAGAAAAACAAAACTTATACTGACCTCAGATCTACCACTCTGATTCAGTTTCTTCTCAATGTTCATAGCCAACATTTGACTACGAAAAGACAAGCTTTTGGTCTTCTCAATCACTTGCTGATAAGGTGAGACTGCATTGTTGCCCATGACTACATGGCCCTAAAACCCAGCAAAGACAGAACAAATTTAACAATTGCTCAGCATGCAAGGATCTTTGCTTGTAATACTCTGCTTTCAGAACTTTCTCAGATCTTACAGACAAGCACAAAACACAATAAATGAAATCCATTACAGTTTATCCATGAACAGAAAGTTTTTGATTTCTATTGTTTTTCTTTGCCCATGAAGTAAAAGAAATTTAATGAAAAACTCAACAAATTCACTTGGATCCATCTGGCTTTAAAATGAAAAGAGAGCAGGTTTAGATTAGATTACTATGAGGGTGGAACAGAAAAACTGTGGGTGATGCATCCCTGGCAGTGCTCAAGGCCAGGCTGGATGAGGCTCTGAGCAACCTGGTACAGTGGGAGGTGTCCATGCAGGGGGGTTGGAACTAGACAGTCTTTAGGGTCCTTCAACAAAAACCAGTCCATGACTCAATGTGCAGTCTTACCAGCTTGGAATCCAGTTTGGCATCCAATCGCGCATTCCGGATCAGATTGACAATCCATCTTTCTGCTTCTTCAGGAGTCATATTTAGTTTATCTGCCAACATACTAAAAGATAAACAACTTATTAAATGGCAAAATAAAATCTCTGATGTTGGTAAACATACCAAGGGACTATGGAATACAAGTCAAACCAATACAAAATATGGCACAGTCCAAGATTCAATAAATACTGCATAGCTGGGAAGCTTACTTTAATTGGACTGAAATGACTCAAAAATTACATACAGGCTCTTCTGCCCATCTCCCACCCCCACTGCAAATAAGAAATTCATATCCCAAAGCATATACTTACTCATTCTGAACTACACCACACTGATTTTAAATCTTGACCTGCACAGTTTTCCTATGTTCCTATTAAACCTTGTCTACACAAACATTCTTGGAAAAACTGTCATTTAAGTAATTTCACTAATAACATAAAACCATCACCACTATTAAAAAAAAGTCAACTGAACTGCTTTTATTCTTACTTAAATGCAATCAGCAGTCAAGAAAGTATAGATTACCTAGTAGAAAAAATATGTTTAAGAAAATTTCTCTCCAAAGTTCAGGAACAAGACCCATGAGACAGAGCTTGGTATAGAAGATATGACAGATGCACTATGTTAGAACTTCTTGCAACTTCAAGGAAGGAAGGTGGGGGAAAACAGAAAGGAAAATTCTTAATCAAACAAGCACTCTTGTCCAGGAATAATTCCTCCTAATAGTGCTTCCTGTGGCTTTCCAGCTAACTCCTCCAGCTTCCTGCTGGCAGTTGGCTCATACAGGGCATTAGTAACACTCATTCTTCCATCAGCTTGCAGACTAAGGTAAGAAACATGAGGTAAAGGCTACAGGAATGACTAAAAAGCCAGCTGACTACACTGAGTTGCACAAGAGGTCAATTTCTCACCATTTTACAGAATCTTGCCTAAACATCTTTTTCTCCACCTGAAAAAGTGATTTTTTTCTTGATGATTATTTGCATCAAGTAACTACTTTATAACATACTTTATAACATCTACCTGACTGGACTTCTACGTACACTTCTTTATACAGTTGTCTCTCCTATAAGGTCTTGATCTCTTACCTTTCTCCCAACTATAAAGGCAAATTCCATTTTTTCCACAGATAAACATGAAGTGAATAGGAAAAAAAAAAACCCAAACTAACTTAAAATACTGAACTTACACTGACTTCAGCAAAATAAGACAACAAATGGGTAACAAGTGTTTGAACTTGGCAAAATGAGGGGAAGTAAAACCCAACCCCAGTTGCTACTGTTCCAGTAGACCTTTTAATCTGAGTTTGAACAAGCAATTATAAAGGCAGAAGAGAGCAGAAGACATTAGGCATGGAAATTTTTGTGGAATTATTAGCCACCTGGACAGAACATGAGACACTTTAATACAAAAAAAGTACAATAATTTTATTACCCCCAATCAGTGATGTTAAGCATTTGACTTGAAACTAAACACATTTTAAACTGAAAGTACAAGGGGGTGAGTATAATTCTCACATTTCTCTTTTAAAAGCCTTTTAGTAAGATTTAGATAAAGTAAATTCCCTTCCAGAAGACCACAAAAAAGGCTACTGCCACTACACTGGAGATCAAGCAACCCAGCTTTGGGATTACAGTGTGGAACCTCCATTCATGGAGATAGGAGGATTTACTTGTGCATTCCTGACTAAACAGCATAATGGAATACTGCTGTGGGACCTGCTCAGAGCTGCAGCTGGGTTCACAGGATTAAACCAGATCACTTCCAATCTACAGCACCTACACTCTCCTTTTTCCTTAACACAGTCCTCGTGTAATTAGAGGGTAAGAGGGCATACATGTCTAGAGAATCATTCCAAGCCAGAAACTATGAAGTATTTTGCATTTGTTACTAGCAAATAATTTTACCTTTTTCTATTATATCTATATGTTTTCCTACTAGCTCAGCTGCTTGAGAAGTGGATTTTTTTCAACTAAAAAGTGTTTTGGAACAAACATACAATATATATGTAGCAACGCAACAGAAGTAACACTACACAAGTATTATTTTCCTGCACATGTATCTGGAAAACTTGAAAATCAGAGAATGAAAATGACAGAGTAAAAAGGATGTAAAATCTGTTTTATCTCATCTTGTAGCTTTGAGACTTACACAATGTTTAAATTTTAGTATAAAACAACTGACATTATTAGGTAGCAAGTATCTTCCACTGAATAAGGAGTAAATCTATTAAAAACCTAGAACTTTAATACATCTTTGACACAAGAGATGACCTTCCTCTAGCACTTGGGGCAACTGGACTCCCTCTTAAGAGTCTCTCCTTGCAGCCTACACTGAAGCAGCCAGGACCACCCAAAGTGCATGGATGTATAACACAGAGGTATTTTCCTGGTAAACTAACATACATGACCAAAAAAGTATTCTCTATCTTTCCAGAGCCAAAAGCACAGAAGATCTATCCTGATTACAATTCTGTAACAAACACCACTGTTCTCCTACCACAGTTAGAACATGTATTTAAAACTCTTGAGATATACAATACAGCTTAGCTTCATTCAAGTTTGACAGCTGAAGTAATAGTGACATGTTTAGATTTACAAATATGTATTAACATCACCAGTATTAAGGAAAGGATGCAACACAATTTGTATTATAGGTTACCACTGTTTACAAAGATTCCTGATATAATTCAATAAAAATGAAGTCAATTATAATGAAATACTATTAAAATTTAAAGAATGGTCTACCATATCAAGTTAGAGTTAATTTCAAATGGCAAACTTTTAAATAATTTCTGTCCCCTAGTTTTAGAAGAAAATTCACTTATTTGGGTCATGCTAGGGCTCGTGTTAAGTTTTCATTTACTTAAAAGGCAAGCTGAATTCCCCATATGCTCATATATGAACAAGCCCATCTTATATAGTTTTCTTGTATGCAGTACAAAAGAAGAATGAAGCATATTCAGCTCTCCAATTAAATACAGGCATATCAAAGACTAAACTAAAACAGAATAACCTTCATCTATTACTTCTGATAAACATGATATTTCAAACAGCAAACCAATCACAGGGTGATTTAGGATGTGCAAACTTCAAGTCACAACTGACAAAGCAAATATAAGGAAGTTTCCTACTGTTCTCAAAATCATTCTGAATAGCTAAGCAGTACTCATCAAGCACTGTGTTACAATCGTTCAGTTTTTTGCTCCAGGATTAGCAGTGGAAATCACTTGTGAACAAGAAAACGCAAGAACAACGTCTCAGCCCAACATTCATTTCAACTGGCTAATTTCTTCAAAAGCAATTCAAATGCACTAAGAAATAATTATGAACCTAATTTAATCAGCTCAAATATAATCATTGTTACAGCTTGCAAAGAAATTTAAGGCTGATATCCATCATTAAACGCACAATGACCTACTGAGAACCACCTCATTACTGATGACTGATTCCATGTGCAATTAACTTAGGGGTATGTGGTAGAAATATCCACGTCACTCTGAGATAAATGTCTCAACTCCAAATCTATCACTTGCCTCAGAACACATTATAATGCTTATAAAGAAAGGACACTGCTACCTATATTTAGGAATTACTCACACATAACAAGGACAGCCAACTACATTTTCTATCATACCCGAAGTTGAAATATCACACACAGCACAAAAAATATGAACTATAAGTAATAAAAACAAAATAAATGGCAATTACCTACCACAAAATTTGACAGAGCTTGCAATTTTTGCCATAATGAATTATTGGTATGTTGCCCACAGTTTATCAATATCTTTTGAAACAAGACTTGAAAAATTCTTAACATACACACTGCAGAGTCTTTGCTCATTGACCGGAGTCAGGTAAGAGGAGACTTCTTAGAAAGCCATCTAGTCTCTAGTTAAAAAAGCTTAAACATCTAATTTCATTGAAAACTTGTGCTTGAAAATGTGCAGTGTTCACACCACGAAAGAGATTTCTAAGAAAGAGCAAGACACTATTGGGTTTTATGTTCCCCAGAAACCCATCTTTAAGACTGCTATACATACGGGGTTTTTTCTTTCTTTCTTTCCAAATACTTATTCAAACCCCCTTTATGCCTAACCATGCAGTACTTCTGCTTAAAGTGATTTTAGACAAAGCATTAGCCCTCTTACAAAAACAAATATTAAGTATGGAAAAGCTCTGCTCACAGAATGCAGTTCCATTTCCTATTAGGACTGTATGCTTAAACCCAATACATGAGAGCTGACTAAAATGCTCAAATTCACTGTTTCCCTTCTACATCAAAGCCACTATTCTATTTTAAGCTGATACAAAGGATAAAAATTTTTCCAAGGGCAATGAAGACAAACATCACACAGTGACTAAAGATTAAAAGTATTAAGACTCAGTCCTTTTTCCAACTATATCTATTCATAAAAAAAAGCAATCCTTCAAAGAAGTTGGCAGTGTTAAGACAATTTTCTCTCAAATCCTTTCCTTTTAAATCAGGCAGTGTTAAATCCTTTCCTCAGAGGACTAGATGCACTCATTTGCTCTGGATACAAGCTAGTAAGAAGACTCCATTGAACTTGATCAATTCAACAGCCTTCATTTCTCCTGTCTCAAAGATCTCTGCACTGTTCTCTATCAGTGAGATTTTTATAGCATTCAGAGTTTTTCACTTCCTTCTTTTCAATTCAAGGATATGGAAATATGGGAAATGTGGGCAAAGGCCAAGTCGAAAGAGAACTCAAGCATACATAATATCATCCCATTTAGTGTTTTTTAAATATATATATATATAAGAGGCATCAGAGCTGATTCATTTGAAAAACCTGTATTTATAAAATAAATCTGAATAACCAACAGACATATTTGCTAATAACAATTCTTACAGCTGAATCACTTTGTGTCACAGGGAATGAAATCCATTGTTTCCTATTTAATTAATGAAAAAGGCAATGTGATTCAATAAATTTCAAAGAACATATCTATAAGACACACATGGGTATCTACCAAATAAAAATAAATTTAAGCAGTTGTTGTGTTTGCAGTTTGTATTTACTTAATATTATCACTCTATCTCAACATGTGGAATTGAGGCCCAAATGAGGTACTGCCACCAGGACTTTGGTGACACTGGGTATGAAAGTTAATTATAAATTAATATAAATTCAGCAGAGATCCCACTTAAAACCATAGCAGTTTTAGCTTGAAAGTACTATTTGTCTGGGGGGGCTAGGGGTGGTAGAGAAGGGTTGTTTTGAAGTTAAACAATAATTAAATTCTGAAGTATAATTATAATTCAAGTACATCACATTAGATTTATAAAACTAGAAAGAATACTACGCAAATGAGATTTCAGTTAGGATTTTACCTGACAACTGAATACTTCCTGAAGTTTGCACTGTTTGTCAAACTGCCCTCCATGACTGATTTTCTGAACTGAGGAATGAAGACATTCTCTTACCCAATGCTGATGCACTGATGGATGCGACAGAAAGTCTCAAATATAAAGAGACGGGCATTCTCAATGAAGTCCTCAAGGCATGCCACTAGGAAGAAATCATTCACAAGCACCTGCATGTGGCAGCAGAAAGGGAACATGAGAGCAAACATGTGAGTAGAAAGGTACTGGCAGACACTGCCAGTAAATAAAGCCAATAACTACGAGCAGCCCACAGTATACCTAAAAACATTATTGCTATGTTCAAAGATGTGGCAAAAAAGCTATGGACAAACAGTATTTTTCATTGTTCAGCATCTTACTAAATTTAAATTGCATGCTAAGTGATCACTGAGGTCTGACTCGAGAGTAAGGTTGCAACTCTACTGAAGGTCAAACTCTACTGCTGCCCTTAAATATTGAAGATACTTTCAACACAAAATTTGACTCCCCACTCATCTTTCACAACAAAAGGTAAATCTGAGCTTTTCTTCAAGCACTTCTCAGACTTTAATGGAACACCTGAAGCTCAGCCAAATGCATGATTACCTATTTGCTTCTTCTTCTAGAAATTCTTAAATATAACATTAATAACATTAAAGCTATATTCTTAACAGTAAGTCACATGTGTTACAAAATGAGTTGTCATAAAACCCAACACCACCCAATCATGAATTTAAGTTTATCAGAAAACGCTGGCAATGTAATCAAACACCATTGTGAATTTTAGAGGTCTTTACTTAAAGGAAAAGGAGTCTTATAAATATTTTAAGTCTTACTGTTTCACACTCTCTCAGCTTCTTCTGAGCTCCATCAAAATCAAAGTTAACATACAAGCATTCCACAAACTCTGTGATAGGGTCCCTGTATGTGTACGATTCCTATTAAAAAAAATTGGGAACAACATCAGAAATCAAGGCCACGTGGTCGCTCACGTATTCCTTATATTCTTAAAAAAATTAATAGTGGAAACAAGCCCATATATCACCTTAAAAAAACCCTGAACTTCCAAATTCCTCTTATAAAAGCTACATAAATGTGCTTCCTCCCTTTAGTCTGGTAAAATAACCAGAGGTGTAGTTTCACCTTCATCATTTAATGCTGTAACCTTTGGGCTAGGAAACTGTCAAGATATTAGAGCTGTCTTTGTATCAAACCTCCAAATTTCATAAAATAAGATAGAATAGTCTTCCTAAATTCTGATTTCAAAGAGGACTCCAACACCAAATCCTTCATACTTGAAACTGAACAATTATTTGATTTTCATAGACAACATAGCTAAGAAAAATGCTACTTTCTATACACTAATTACTTCAAATTATTTTGGTATTACAGAAGTACTCAACTTTCTCTATTACCAGGGAGAGATAACACTACATCTATATACAATTGTGTAAATTCAAGTGTAACAAACATCCCCTTAAGGGTTTCTAATGCATATTATAAGACAGCTTAAATCAGTATGTATCAGTATCTGCTTTAGCATACAGTAAAATCAACAGATTAAGGGAATTCCTAAGAGATTTTTCTTTCTGGATCAGCTATTTTTTTCCTTCCCCAAAGAACTGTACTTACAAACTCATTATTTAGATTTAAAATTAAGTTCTATACATGTTTTTCACATCAGAATTGCACTTGTTAACCATTATTTGCAAAATGGTCTTCGATCGAGCGTCTCTCAATTTCAATAACAGACTGCACACCTATCAGTTCAATACTTGCAAAGATGTTGCTAGTATAAACAATCTTTTACTGCTACTAAAGCAGCACAAGTTATTTCAAGTTTTATTTCTACAAAACCTCTACCACATCATCATTTAATATCATGAATCATACAGAGTTAGATGAGTACTAAGAAATCTGATAGGCGATTTCAAAACCAAAGCCCAATTTGGTTATTTTCAAAAGGAATACCCTAATGGTGGGCAAGATTAAACAAAAGCAAGAAGTTGTAACATATTACTTACTTCAAGTATTAGAAATTCATATTATATTAAAAGCTCAATGTTACAATCAAATTTTAGATAAAGATAAAAGCTGAGTCACAAGATTTACCACTGATTTATTGCTTATGGTACCTTTTGTAAGCACTAATGCTTAAAAACAGATTAATTTGTAGCTAAAATGTGATTTTTGCATTGACTGTGCTTTGCACAGGTAGTTTCCCAAATGCCTGAAGTGGTTATAACTGACTACTAGCCTATAATAACTGCACTGTCATATTTATATATGTACACAGAAAGATACAATGTTTATTACTCACAACATTATCAAGCATTTGAAGTGCATTGGTTTGTATACAAGTTGTTTGGTGATTTCATATAAAAATCTGGGCCTTAAACCCCTGTTCACTGCCACCAAGCAACTCTTTTATTGCTCTTCTCTGTATCTCCATCCTCATGAGACTGTGACAACAGAACCATTTTCAAGAGAATGCATGTGAATTCAAATCAACACACACAATTCAGTGGTTTTGCAATGTAAGAAAGAACTCTTATTCATACAACAATTTACTGTACAGAGAGTTGAAAAAGAATCAGATCCAAAGCCACTTCACATCTCACAGAATTTTCAGCATTTAGTAATTCAGAAAGTAAGAACGGCATGCATACTCTACTGCATGTATGTGTACATGCAGTAGACATGTACATGAAAGGAGAAAAAAACATACATTACTAGAAGAAGGTTATAATGAAGTCTTCTTAAAAAAAGAGGCAAAAAATATCAGATACTGCAGTCCTTACCTGCTGAATAACCTTGACGAGATCTTTCAGCACTTGTCTACGTTTACGAACATCCTTATTTGTTATGACTGCAGTAGTCAAATATCTGAGGATATGTGGGCACATTGTCTGAATTGCATTGAGATACCTAGAAAGAAAAAAACATAGGTAAGATTCAAAACTCAAAGGTACAATGAAGTTTGCTGATGACACTAAAATGAGAGGAGCTCTCAACTCCTCAAAGGCAGAGAGGCCCTGCAGAGAGAGCCTGACAAAGAAGTCAGAGGGCTGGACAATCACCAACTGTATTAAGCATAACAAGGGCAAGTGTCAGATTCTGCATCTGGAACAGGGCAGCTCTGGATCTATGTACAGACTGGGGAATCAGAGGCTGGAGAGCAGAAAGGGATCTGGGGCTCCTGGTCAACAACAAGCTGAATGTGAATCACAGTGTGTCCTGGCAGGCAGGAGGGCCAACTGTGTCTTGGTGGACATCAGGCACAGAATCACCAGCTGGGCAAGGGAGGGGATTGTCCTGTTCTGTTCTGCACTGGGGCAGCCTCATCTGGGTATTGGCTGCAGTTTTGGGTGCCACAACATGAGAAAGTATCAAGCTATCAGAAAACATTCAAAGGAGCAACAAAGAATGCTAGATCTACATATAAGTCAATCCTCTCACAAATAGATACAGTGTTTCAATTTTCATTTTTAGTCTGGGATTTAAAGAATCTTTTGAAATAGCTTTCTACAATTAGAATAGAACAATACCTTCACCCTGCAGCCCCAAGCTCAGCAAGCTTGCATATTTATCATTTGCCTTCAATTTGATTTAAAGACCCCCCCCCAGATGGTACAATACAACTTACTGTGGCTGATAGAGAAAAAGGTCAATGATGTTGTCTCTCCCTTTAGGATGATTAAAAAACACGAACAAAGACCAGTGGATGAGCCATGTTCTTTGCTGAAGAGACTGCAGTGGAGAGCTGACAGACTAGGAGAAAATGTAACATTGGTTCTAGTCAAACACAGCACAAAGTTTGCTTGAATACTAATCCATGGAAACCTGTAATTGCCCAAAATTTTGTGATTCCACATCAGCCCTTTATAACTGCCATCATTGTCAGGCTGAGTTTGACCTCCAGCTTTTTTTGTCATCTCAGTGATAAATCTACTGAAAGTTATAAGCAGAGATTTTAGCTCTCCAAGACCACCATATCAACCTAAGTTACTTCCCTTCTTAACTCTGAATTCCTTGTGTTCCCTCCTCAGATGTGATCTGAGTAACTACTTGGCTTTTTCACCTTTTCTGTTTTACTTCCTTTCTAAATCCTCACAAGACTTTTTTTGCCATAAACTCTCAGACAACGATGAAACTTTATAATCACTTTCAGCCAAAAAAAAGGTAATTATCTTTATTTAAACCTGCTGATAATGGACAAACAAGGGTTCAGCTCCAAGTACCTGTATTAGCTCCAAATTTCAACAGCATTTCAAACAGACTGCAAAACAACACATTGGGGACGAACTGAGATGGCAAGTAATCCTCACTCTGAAGAGCATGACAACAAACTGCTCTGATTAAATCCTAAAAAAACTCTTGGGAGTTTAATAAACAAGTCAAGTAGTCTATTATAACCATACAGAATCATAAAGACAACAAAATTACAGGAAGAAAAATTTTTAACACTAATTATCTGCCACACAGACAAAGAACGACTGGGGGACAGAAAACACCTGTTTTCTCAAGACTCTGGTTCAGGAAAGTGAAACTTTCACATCTCTGACATGGCCAGTGAAGCTCCACAAGCAAAGAGGAAGACTGAGAGGTCCCTCTCATCAGTTGCTCTGAATTAGTACTGCAGCCTCACTCACCCCTTAAGTTCTTGGTACTCATCTGAACTCAGAAGAGCTTTGTTAAGAAAGCTGAATTAGCTGAAAACTATTTCCAAATATAAGCTGATTGCAATATCTGTCAAAAGCACTGTCTTCATCAGATAAAATGGTTTATTTACATGCATTCTATTCCTTCCAGCAGATGAATACTACAAGCATCTGAAATTTAAACAGCAGTTTCACACAATGATACCTCGGCCTCAAACACATCCTTAAGATTTTTTTGTTTATTGGAAATATATTTGAAAATGCAGATGAGAACCTAAGGTGTTAAGAGGCAAGCAATTTGAAAGAGAATGCTTTATTTCTTCACTAACATCCTTCGACTTTCCCACTGCCAATAAGAAAGTATCCAGTGAAAAGGTGGTAACCTATTCCTAAATAAGACTGCAAGTAATTTAAAATAAAACTTGAGTACTAACACCTCTAACCTCTCACCTTGCTAAGATGTCCAAGATTTTACTTACATTATTATCTATTGTCTCCTTTAGCCTTGTGAGATCTTCCATGGCTGCATCCCAATTCTGCATCAGGATTTCAGATGCCAGTTTTCCCCAAAGAGAACTCAACGCATTTCTGTCTGTTGCTGGAACCTATGTTCAACAATAACAACAAAGTCACACTCTTAGTATTTGAAATTATTGTTAAAAATTATTACTTACTTTTAAAATTACAAACAGTATTTTCTGGCAGTATTTTTCATTTACAAGATACCAATTTTGCATAGGCCTAACTCTCCAAATTAAGTAGGGTTTTTTTTTCAGAGAAAGTTTAGACATGGGAAAAAAACAAACCAGTAGTAAAATTTCTTAAACAGAAACTAGGAAATCCTGTCAAAAAAAGACAAAGATCTGTGCTGCTGCAGTTTAAGTTTAAAAAAAATTAAAAATGGCTGAGCACCAGATGACACACTGGTCCCAAATTTATTTTGGGTTTTCTTTTTTTGTTTCACCATTCAACAAAAGCTTCTAAACTAACAAAGTTATTACTAGGCAGGTTCCTAAAGAACCCATAACAGTAGATAACTATCTTCAAAAAGCTAGTATTCCAAACTCTCAAACTCTTCCTGCTAATGCCTTGTCCAGAACTGTACTTGTTACAGCAATGTCCAGTGGAACTTGGCAGCACTGAACCTGCTCCCTGGAAGGGTAGTTCTGAGGTCAAGCTGTGTTAGTTTTACACAGGAATGTGTTGCACTATGCCATTCACAATGTCAAATTCTGCTCTTAGACTGGTTACAATAGCTCTTTCACAGACTATGTTTCATCACACAGGGCTTTGAAATAAATCTTCTCCCGTCAGAATCAGTAACAAAAGTTTTACACTAAGCTATTATCAGCACAAAAATCAGTACTCCATTTTTTGAGGTTACTGACATACAAGAACATAATGCTATGCCCAGAAAAAAGGCATGAAGAATTAAGGACAGTTGCCCACAAACCTACTTCCCCGGTTGGCACATAAAAAGGACCTGTAACACTGAAAGTCACCTTTACCATCAAAATTTAGACTTATAATTCAACTCATTCATACTTTCTTCTGATTAAAGATACATTTCCCAATTTCTCTTCTTTAATTACAGTCAATTACAGAAATTTTTGTGGTTTACTCTAACACTATTTCAGAGAGTTAAGATTACTTTTAGACGGGAATACAAACTAGCAAGGAAGAGCATCAAGGTATGAACCACTCCATGTTTTCAACAGTCACTACACAAATTTATGAGATACACTGCTCATAAGTCAGTATCTTCCAGACAACCCAGGTGCCAGTTTAGTAGATACTGAGTTGAGAAGGTTCACATGCTCTGTGCTGGTTCCAAATCACTTAATTAGAGGTAGCTGTTCACAATAACTGCTTTTAGGTACCACAGCTGTTCCAGCTACATTATTGGGATTTTCAAGCAGTTACCTTGAATTTCCATTTGTTAGTAAAGCAGCATATTCACTGACCACCAACAATAAATTTACTGTGCTGGGATTCTTACAGTACATCAAATCTTTATTCTCAAAATTCACTCCCACCAGTAACAAATTACATGAATTACAACAAGATGAAAAGCGTTGCTTCAGAGACGATGGATCTGGTTCAACATTTATCATCTGAGCTGTCTACATTTCATAGGGAGATGACTTATACTCTTAAATCCATCACAGAATTCAAGAGAGGACAGATCAGAGTTCAGATAAGAAGCTGGCAGTTCACTATTACCAGCAATTACATTCAACCCACCTGCAAGCTTTTCACTGCTGTTGACTACATCTGTGCACAAAATCAAGTATTCTTAAAAACAAGTATTCCCTTCATTGTATTATATAATTGTTACAATACACACAAATTCAAAGAACAATTCTAAGTTCTACTTGAAAATAATGGAATTGCTGAACCATAGTGATGATTATTAACCATTACTGTAAACTTTGGCATACAGTAATTGCCTCAAAAAGCTATAAAGTATTATATGCTAAGAATGACTATAGACAATTTACTGGTTTAAGTATTTCGCTGAAAATAACACCAAATAAACAAACCAAAAAAACTAAGCCCCAAACTAACAACCAGTGAAAACTTACCAAAACTCTAAAGAAGTAGAGATATTCTGCAGCTCCTGAGTAGTTACCACATTCATACTGGAATTTTGCATACCTGTAGAGTGTATCTAGGTACTCCTGCCTAAACTGAAAAGGAATACAATAAAAGCTTTTATTCCCTAGGAAAAAAACCCATGCTGTCACAAGCTCATTTTAATGGTAGAGTATAACTGGAAATCTGTAGCTTTTCAAAAGACATTGTACATAGGAAAAGACAATAGAAAACTATTATTTTCTCAATCCATGACATGGAATGAAAGTTTATACCAATACCAGAAAAAGGTGAAAGCTTGCATTACAAAGTAAAGCCCATCTAAGTTACCAAGTTATCTTAGTTATCTAAGTTACTAAGCCAGCATTAATTTTAAGCTTTTTTTTTTTTTTGGTTGTAAAAATTAAAAGTTCAAAGGCTTAAATATGTTAGCATTAGGAATTCTACCTATTAGCTACATTGACAGGAGACAGGACAAAATGCTTGTCCATACTTGGTCAAAACACTGTCAGCTGTGAGGGAGGTTGGGTGGACATACAAAGAACTGAATTCCAGCAGCTACAACACTTACCCCGTGCTTCTCAGCTAAATAGTCAAACAGCATCCGACCATCTCTATAATAAAAGGATAGAAAGCACTGCTTTTACAAAATAAATTGATAGCCACCATGCAACACCACACAATGCAACAGAATTTTAAAGGTAAAACACAAAAAAGTGAGCGTGAATTTGACGTAAAATTCTTCCGCTTGTTCAAAAGCAGCTGCAGTCATCTATTACTGTGCCATGCAGTCTCAAAATCTCAAAATTATTCAAATTTTAAATAATGAATGCCACCTGCAACAATAACTACAGTTAAGAAAGAGTAGAAGGTTGTTTTAAATTTGATAGCACCCTTAGCTTTCAAGATGAAAGTAAATTCTGAATTAGAGCTCTTCCCACTCTCATGTTCCAATTTCAAAGCAGTTACTCCAGACAACCTTGATTTTAATAGGAGATGGGAAAAAATGGCAAAGACTAAAGTAAATAGAAGTAGAACTTATCCTGCTAGCACTGAGACAGAGTGGGTCTCTCCCACAGCCAATAAGTGCAGAACACAGAACCATAAATCATAATCATACTATTAAGTTCTTAACTTCTATATTCATGTGATCACCTCTCTGAAGACTGTTTTTTATTTAACATTAATACTAAAAGAACAAGCATTATTACATATATCAAAGAGAAGCTTAAGCCTCCAGGAGGCAAGCTGTAAATTCCCTGAGACAAAGATACAATAAAAATGGTATGAGAGAGAATATTTTCCCATTTACTCTGAAATCAACTGACTGCAAAAATTTGAGTTTAATTAGAACTTCTAGTACAAGATTCTACAGGGAAATGGCAAATTGCCAAGTGAGCCAAGAATGACAATCCTCAATCATACCTCTGAAAGCAATTAAATAATCTCATGGATTTGCTACAGTAAAACATACTTTGAGGATGAGGAATACTGCCTATCACTCTCTGTAATTTTTAAGTCAATGTCCTCCAACAGTTGCTTAGAGTAGTAAAATGTTTTTGGTTATTCTTGAAAGAACTTCTACCTGCAAAATCTCCTTTACTCTTTTTCTCCCAGAGCTAGGTATTCCAAACAGTGCCATCATGGATCAAAAGTCATGATCTAAAGTCCCAATAATATGCAGCTATCTGAATTTGATAGAGATTTAAAATCACCAGCAGAAATTCCCAAAAGAATCAGAACTTGTTTCTACTATCTTCAGCACACTACTCAGGCCTAGACAGATGGGACATATTTCAGCCCAATTCTACTTATTACTATCTAACCCCAATAATCTGGATTAAAACTACTCCTGAGCCAATAACCAAAACCAGAACTTCTGAGCTGTGAAGTTTCCAGATATTTTACAAACACAAATCACATACCAGTTCTAAACCAATACTTGCTGCAGATGAGTAGTAGGGCTAATATTCTATAGCATTAGGCAAGTTATATTCCATGCATTTATTGACTATATTGTCTCTCTTGCTCCCAAACAAGGCATTTCCAATTTGAAGTCCATACTATTGACCAACTTTTGTGAATCAAAATCAAGTAACAGCATACTCCCCACGAAATGCTGGTATTTTAGTAACATTTTTCTAGGCTAATTATTATTATTTAAAAATCTGGCTAAAAGCAAGGCAAGAATTGGACAAGACCTCTGTATATTCAATTAGATTTGAATCTAATTGAACATCTAGTGTTTCTAATTGAATCTAGTTTTAAGACAGGATCAATTGCCATAGTAACTGAGACTTTCCCTTTCAAAGCTGTATCTATAAAAGCAAGTGACTCCTGGCTTTGCATAACCACAAGTCATAAACAAATGCAATTCCTTTTTCTTTATGTAGTTATCTGACATGAACATCCATTCTGAAATCAGATGCAAAGGCAGTTTACTTGGTTAAAAATGGCTTTACAGCAGGAGCTTAAAATCAGGAGCTCTGATGGTATCAGGATAGAAAATAAACTTCTCCTGACATGCTGTAAAGCTAACAGATTTCATGATTCCTACTGACATCTTGCTTCATGTGTGCTTTGAGACATAATACACTGCACCTCAGAATTTCTGCACCGACCAAAATCTAAATTGATCTATAACAAATTATGAAAACAATGCAAAGAGTGGAACAAAGAACAGAGGCAAGAAAAAAAGGATGATAATGTGTATTTGAAACAGAGTTGATTTTAATCAAGTTCTTCTCCATTGAGGGACCCATATTCTTCAGGAAGTTTGTTCATAAAAAAAAGGTATATTCATACAGAAGATTTCTGCAAACTAGAAAGAAGAGTTTGTACATTCAATACTGTTCTAAGAAATTCCAGAAGCAATGTTACAGTCTTCCTAATGTTACAGTATCAGCGGATGCACAAAGCTTGCCAACAATAAACCCAAGTACAGGCTTCACCAGCAAATTCAAGTTAAGCCATAGGTTCTCTGTCTCAGACAGTATGCTCTATTTAAAATTTTAGGGCAAGTAAGGCTGAAGAAGGGATCCAATTATTATTCCAGTTTTCCAGACACATTTACAAGAGCAGTAAGAGTGATTCCTATCTAAAGGAAACAAGGAGTAATTTATGCCAAACAAATACCTGCCCACCTCTCTGCTGAAGGCAGAGTTACTCCTCAGTGACTACAGCTGAATTCTTTCCTACAGAGCCCAATTCAAGCTTAACCATGGTGAAACTTTGATAGATCTTAGATACAATGTGCAGACAAACTCATTCTACTTTAATTACTTCCCATAAGAAAATTTAAAAAATATATTGGATGCATCTTAACAAGACTTGAGCACAACCTTACACCAACAAGTTGGAACAGTTTGGGGGTGGAGAAAGTAAGCAGGAAAAGGACAGAAGACCCTGAAGAAATATGTGCTCTGAGGATGAAAGGATGGTCATCCACCAGGCCTCCCAGACTAATATGACACTCCATAACCTTTTCTGGAAGGCAGAAAAGAAAATATTAACTGTTTCATCCTGTATTTTCCCTCAAAAAACCCTAAAGCAGATCAAAGCCAAACAAAAATTAACCTGTGATTGGACTGCACTGGATGATGACTGTCACTTGTAACAAGCCGATTCACAAACATTAAAACAATAGATGTCTTTTGCACAACAGGGAAAAGCACTGAAAAGAGTAAACTGTGTCCAGGAATTTCACCTACCTGACCACAAGCACTATTTAAATACTATATGAAAATAAAGTCTTTCTTGCAGTTACTACACAGAAAGCATTCCCAGCAGCAACACCTGAGAGGTACCAACAAGCCATCCTGACAAATTATGTTAGAAATTACCTAGTGGACTGCATTTGCCTCGTAGTCTCTGGATCCTCAAACATCTTGACAATAGGTTCTGTTTCAGCTTGAAGCTGCTTCAGCTGTGCAACAACAGTTGTTCTCTTCTCACGCAAAGCTGAACACAAACAAAAAGACTTTAATATAATGCTTTAAGTTTTTACATGAACCAGCCTGTAATTACATGGTGCTGACACTTGCACACATCTTCCCAATTCCTACCTCACCTGTCCTCAAACCCAGCTGTGTATAACTATTCTGTAACTTAGTAAAAACTCCTAACGTTTGGTTCTTTTCCTCCTGAGTGGAGGCTGCCAGAGAGCGGGTACAGCTGGAGCAGAATCTGTATTAGACAAGGTCTCTTCAGGCTTCTATTAAGGGAGAAACAACCTTTAACTAAGTTCACTTATTCCAAATAAACTTGTAAAAAAGTAAACAATCGAGCGATACCACGAAGATTAATTTTCTTCTGACTGACGATAAGGTTCTGAAAGAACAATTAGAGCATACTTAACTAAAAATTGGCAGAAGAAACTTCAAGCAGCTCAAACTGCAAAATTACAATTTTGAACACTCTGTGCTTAATGAAAACATTTTAAGTCCTTTACAAAAAACTGTTAGGAAATTCAACTAAGAGTTTTTGGGTGACTATTTTACACAGAACCCAAATTCCTCACCAAGTGCTAGTAATGCAATAAAATGAAGACTTAAAATTTAGAAAAGTGGACACGTTTAAAAAAAAAAAACAAAACAGAAAGAACACCCTGACATTGGCTATGTGAAACACACGGGATCAGAGAAGCCAAGACTAAATCCCAGGAGATAAATGCAGGAAACTGTGAAAGTGAGCCACACACCAGAACACTCAATGCCATGGTGAACAGAGTCAAGATTTCTTTCATGATTTGACTACAGAGATATTTGAACAGGACACCCAAGGTGGCTAACACCATAATGGTGACCCAACCTAAATATGAGAACAACTTGCCTGACAGGAAATGTTCCAACAAGGAGAAATTATCTCCACCTGCAGTTGACTCTTGAGATTATAAAACAGGAAGAAGAAACAGATGAAAGTAAAACATTCAGTTGACTTACTAAGAATACGAAAATGTTTTCCTGCGACATCTCCTGGGTGTGTGATTGTAAGTTGATCTCATGGAAGACAAGACAAAAGCAACTATAAATCGTGCAGGGACATTTCTAACTGTAACTGTGTAAGTGAACTTAGTTTTAAGTACTTTAAACAGGGGAAAAGGATAGGGTAAGCTTCTAATGATGCCAGCAATTCCACAAGTAAGAACCACCTGTCCATGCACACATTCTGATAAGCGCTGCTACAAGAAGATGACACATACCAGAAAGATCTCAGAATTAAGGCCTTTGCATAGGAAGCTGTGCAAGCAAGCACCCTGAACAATGTGTGAAAGAACTAGCTCTGCTTATGTTAATTGAATAAAAGCCACACATCAAACAACAGTAAGTCATTATAAAAAAAAAAAACAAACCACCCAAAAAAACCCCCAAAAAACCTTCCAAAATGGTAAGGTAGAATCGTAAGAGATGCAGTGTTTTTCTTATAGTATTTTCAAACAAGTGTGGAATTTCTGATTTTTCATGAAGGCAGAGCTCTCCAAGGGAGAAAATTCATTCAACTTTCTTGCAGCTGTGACCTTATGAAGTTATACTCTGAGACAATCTGCTTAAGTAACTGGCTATGATGAGAATTCTGAAGACATTTGGAGTAGTTACTTTGTGGAAGTCTGCTAGAGTTGCTATTCTTGTCTTGCTTACTTCTTGAGTATTTTACTCCTTAATTACTACTGCTAACAGTAATATTCAACAGTTTAAAAAGGCAGAAGCAGGGAAAGAAAGAGGAATACCTATTCAGCATTGAGATTTTTTTATAGCCTTGATGCAGCCTGACTTTTTTGATCAGTAGAACTGTTAAGTAACCTAAAGGTGAAGCTATTAATACAACTGTTTCTGAGATGACAGAAATGAAACCCCCTGGTTCTCACTACATGTCACAGTACACATGCCCATAACAATGCCCACCTAATGCTAGCACAGACTCAGTCAGAACACTGACTCCCATGTCCATAAGCCTATTAATTCTCCTCTTCCAAAGAGAAGAGTGGCCATCTCTGCAGCTTCAAGAGCCTGAAAAGAGCAAGACCCAGAGGAAGAAAGCAACAGCACCCAAGTCTCTTCCTCTTAAGATGCAGGCAAAAAAGACTGTCATCCCAATAGCTAAGAAAAAGGTGAGGAATTCACCAACACGAAAAACAGATGGAGAAATAGGAAGGCAGTGGATATTGAAAGACTAGGTCAAGAACAAAATGAAACACACAACCCATAAAAAAAAGAACTGGGAAAAAATGATTAAAATTAAAACACCCCTGAAGAATGGAAATTAGACAAAGCTAGATTACCTATTTTCTCCCCATTCCCAAATGCTCCTCCAGATGATAGAAATTTAAGTAGTAAACAGATAATTTATCAAAATCATGGATAAAATAGTAAAAGATCGCATTCATTATAATCTTAAATTTATTTTCTCCTAGAGAAGCAGCAATTCTTATTTTGCCAAAACTGAGGAAAACACACGTTTTAAGAAAAGTCTCTCAAACTCTAAAAATCAGCCACAGTCAGATAAATTAATGGAATTACCTAGAATGCAACTCTAGTCTTGACACACTGGATGCTTTAAAGAAAGTCACCAAATAACACCAAATCATTATGCAAGTGTTTGAGAGATGAAAAGCTACTACACCTTCATTAGTTGCAGTGCAACACCTTTAAAGTGCTTGAAATTACCAAATCAGCATTGAAATACTTAAGAGGTCACTCAAAGGTTAAGTTCCTGACAGACCAACAAACCCAAACTTCTCAGGATTAGGGCATTCTGTTTTTCTCAGTATTGCGCATCCTTTTGGTAACCCAAAGTTAAACAGCACTCCAGCTGCCGTACACAACAAGCAATTACCACCAGTTATTATGTTAGACAGAAAAATTGAAAAACAAGCTTTACATATAAATGAGCAGCTTACCATGAGGAATTTCATCAGAATAAAGATTTTTGTACACATCCATAGCAAAATCCACCATGTTGGTATCACTAAGGAGATCCAGTTTTCCTTGGAGCAGCTCTTTTTCATTGTATATCTGAAACAGCAATTATTAACAGATTCATCCGAATAGTGTTGAAGTTTCAATTCATATTGCGTATTACTTTTATGGCACAGTTTATGGACTTCTGTACAACTGAATTGTTTTAAGTATCAAATCTCACTGCTCTACCATTAAGAGTACTTACTATAAAACCTCTCTGCATTTTCAGTTTTGACAAAGTTTCAAATATTTCCTGCTATCTACCAAAATAGGTACTTCAAAAGCTAATTAGAAGTCAAGTAACTATTACTAGTCTCTTAAAATAAATAGTAATTCCTATTGCAAAATTACACACATATTTTAAAAATTAAAGAACCTTAATCATACTTTTCTTTCAAAGTACTGAATACCTTCCACAAAATAAAATGCTGAACAGTGAGGACTAGTTAAATTACTTAAAGTGGATTTCAGAAGAGATATACAGGATTAAACTCACAATTTAATTGTATGGCAAATTATTCTTAAATATGTTGCTAGGTCTATAGCATAAAAACAAGTTTAGAGTAGCTATGTAATCAAATATGTACTTTTAAACTTTTCAAATTGTTTTTTAGAGTTCATATTCCACAATTTATCAGTGAGTTGCAAACTGCTGTTAGACGTTGAAGATGTAGGCGAAGGCCAAATCCAGTACATTCCTCAAAAACTTATTTGCACAAGAGCCGTATTACAACTCACCATGCCACATTTGAGGACATCTCAGATACAGAATCTGTAAAAGTTTAATTCAGCTCTGAACATTGTGTTGTTCAAAAGTAACACCACAAATTTAACTGTTTAATTAACTTCAGCTGACATAAAAATGCTTATGCACAAATGCCCCCAAGATGAGAGGCATTAAGCAAACTCCCCATGCTAGAGACATGACAGCTGGCAAGGCCAAGTTAGCAAGCACGGTTTAACAGTTCCTATCTGAAGGCTAAAATAACACCTACTTTAAATTTAAAACTCACATAACTTTACACATTTCGCTCCCATTTTAAAATAGTTTATACTGATGAGTTTAGTCTATAGTATGTGAAGTACTCATCTGAGGTATCCTCCAGCATTGCTATGCTCTTTGTAGCAATATAACTTAAAAATATACATAAGAAGACCCACAAGGGATAACTCCAGAAGGGATTTATATTTGTTTCCAACACAAATTCGTGATGACATGGGTTTCAAATTAAAATTGGTCAGTATTACTGGCCTAACCCCACAGACCACCCAGAGATCCGGCTGCGGGGCTCTCGAGGGTGCCTCACGCCGTGGGACTGCGGCTGCAAGGGAGAGCTTTGACTTCTCCTTTCTCCAAATATAGATAAGAGAAAGATACTACGCCAAATCCGAAGAAGGAGAAAGTGCAGGAAGTCCATGCTGCCTCGCAAGCGAGGGGCCGCGGCGCTGCGCGGCGTGATCAAGGAGCGGCTCCCTTAGGCCTCCTCTCGGCTCTGCTCCCGTTCCCGTCCGGGCAGCCCCACACGCTTCGCCCCTGGACTCACGCAGCACAGGAGCCTCGAGCTCCTCCCTAGGTAAGCTCCAAATCCCCCACGGGCCGCGCCCGGCCCGCGCAGCGCCCAGGCCCACGAGACGAAGCCCCGGTCGCGGCGCACCCAGGCCCACGGGAAGCACCGGCAGCTGACAGCAAGGCATACCACCTTCCCGCTCCCACAGCCAGCTTCCCCACCCTTAGGAGAGACACGCACCTCCTTGACAGAGAGGAATTCCAGCAGCGGGAAGACCAAGTGCCGGTCCAAAAAGTGCGCGATCTTGGTAGTCAGGTCGTACTCCGCCATCTTGGAGCCGGGACAGAGGAAAGGCAGAGGCGTGACGCGGCTCTTGTGGGGGCTGCGCCTGCGCGGCCCCGCCCCCCAGCGGCGGGAAACCGGGGCCTGCGCACTGAGCGCCCCGGCCAGCAGCCAGGGATGGGGCAATGGCCGCGCCCTCCCTTTCCCCTCCCCTTCCCTTCCCCGCTCCGGCGCCCGGGCCGCTCCGGGGCCGCTCCGATCGCGCGGTGTGGGGGCCGCGCTTGCGTGGGGTGAAGGCGCCGGTGGAGCGCGTGAGCAAATGCTCGGCAACACTTTGGGCACCCTGGGTCAGAGTGGGATTTCGGAGGGGTGAACATCTCCTGAAAGCAGCTGTGAGCTGTGAGTCCAGCCCCCACACCTTGTGCGTCGTGCGTGAGCTTGACTTGATCTCGGTCTAATCTGGTAGTGAGAATCTGAAAAGGGGTCTAAACTGTCCTTGGCACCAAGTGAAAAGTTTGTTAAGGGTTGGTCCATGTTGGCCATGTTTCCAAGCTCTCCGCGGCAAGACTGTGTCACATGTGATGGAAAAAGGCTCCCAGATGGGGAGCTGCTGAACAAGGGCTTACACAGGGAACTCCAAGCAAGTGCAGAAATGTGTTTGCTGAGTTTAGCAACAGAAATGGAAGAATCAGTAATACTGCTGATAGCTTGCTTATAGCTTCCTTATAGCCATTGTAAAGAAGCATTGGTACTGGCTGCCCAGAAAAGTGCTTGAGTCCCATCCCTGAAGGTATTTAGAAAATGTCTGGATGTGGCACTTAGGGACATGGTTTAATTGTGGACTAGATCATAGAAGTCTTTTCCAATCTAAATGATTCTGTGATTCACCGTGTTAACTCATCAGAAAGATAAAAGGTTTCTTTTCCTGTTACACTTTTTAAGTTTTCTAGTGATTTTTGTCAGGACACACAGTTGAGTTCAGTAAGTCAAGCCTCATCTCTTCTCATAAAGCATGACTAAAACCTTTGTCATTAACAAACTTTTCCTTTCATGAGCAGAAGCATAATAATTTGTTTATGTGATTCACATAACTACAGACTATGTCTACGGTAGCTACAATAGTTGTTCATGTGGAATAGCAAGTTAGTATAGTTATAGTACAGGTTAATTTTAGACTTGGATGGTTTGTTTTAAATGTAAATGAGAGGTGAGCAATAAGAAGGTCATAACACTTATTAAGCCATTATTCAGGCAGCTAGTGATGTTCTCCCCACCTTAACAGAAAGATGTAAAGGCTATAGAATTAAGGATGTGACAGGCTGGTTTCTAGAGGTAAGACTTCATTGTATCTTAATGATGCCCTGTAAGGGAAAAATAGTATGCAGTGTGAATGAAGTAATTCTTCACGTGACACTGAATTGTTAACACTTCCATATAAGTCTGTGATATGTGTAATTTTGTATTAATAATATCTTTCTAAGAACATAATCTGTGAGAAAGAATCCCTTTTGATCTGCAAGATAGGTTAGTATTTTTCATAGTAGTTGTAGATACTGTTTACCTTGATATCTACTTATCACTGATGGCATAGATAATCTCTAATGGTGAAAATTATCCTCCTGTATTATTTTTCCCATAATAACAGTGTGGATTTTACCAAGGCCTGTTCAAACTTGCCACTGGTTTCTCCTCATGACAGTCAGATTACAGAGCTGCCAGTGGAAGACCATCAGCACTACAAAATGCTAAAGCATCCCAGGCCCCATACAGTGCTTGGTTTTAGCTGATGAATTTCTCTCTGCTAGAAATAGGTACAGTAATGAGTGAAAAGGTGTCAAGAACTAGCTGGGGAGAGCCTTTTAGAGAAAGACCATAAGACTTAAAACAATACTGTGCCAAGGCAAAATATCAGGAAAACTGTTTTAAATTCCTTCAGTGAAACATACACTGTGCTGAGGATTACTGTTTTAAGAAGAGGATGTTTAACTGCTTTGGCTGTATCATCGGGTGAGGTATTCACCCTCTTGGTAAAATTTTTGTAAAATATATTTAAACTTTCATGGCAAAACAGTCTTAGCCAGTCTTAAATGAATAACAGGAAATGTGAGTTTATTTTGAACTGTTTTGAACTGTTGCACAGACACCTGACTGAGGAATTATACAAAGCATCGTACCTCTAGGCCAAATTTCATTTTTGACATAGAACAGGCTTGAGGCTGAAGTCCTCTAACCTAATGAAGTTCTTCCCTTCTAGAAATTCTGTACATAAGGTTCTTAGCACCAAAGTATTTAAGATTGCTATTTTGGCTAATGAAATAAAACCCATTTGGCTAGAATTATCTAGAAGATTATCCTAAATAAATCAACAGGAATGTATCTTGCTTGGGCTAAGTCTTTTGATTTCATAATTCCTAAATAGTGAGGAAATTTTATCTGAAGGATTCTGTTTACATAATTGGTTGTCATTTATCTTATTGTTAACATGACAGTGGAATCCAACATTCTTTGAATTGTTAGAAGTAAATAATCACTAGGAAATCATAATAAAGTATTTTTCTGTCTCACATTATCAAAGGGAAATTGAATCTATTAACTTCTTCCACATCCTTTCATATGATTCAAACCTTATGTAACTTGTCTTGGGCTTTTTTTTTTTTTTTTGTATTTGAAATTCAGAAATTATGTTTCTGTTGTTTTTTCTTTTGACTTTGTATCTGAAAACAATTTTTAAATCCTGCATTCCGTAAATATTTTTACACTGCTTAAAACAAAAATATTTCTAAAATCAAGAATGTATCATCTAGAGGAATTCAGTGCTGTCAACTATTTCTGGATAGCATTCAAATTTACAAAAAGGGTATCTCATAATTCAGCTGAATCATCATGAAAACCATGATTATGTTATGTGCTATTTAAACTATCTGGGAAAAAAAATGAGGAAACACAAGAGTCCAAAATGCAAGCAGTGGGATGTGGATCAGTGGGAAAGGACCTGGGGGTGCTGGTCAACAGCAGCTGAAGATGAGCCAGCCGTGCCCAGGTGGCCAAGGAGGCCAATGACACCTAGCCTGTATCAGCAGTAGTGTGGCCATCACGACCAGGGCAGGGATTGTCCTCCTGTTCTCAGCACTGGTGAGGCCTCACCTCGAATCCTGTGTCCACTTCTGGGTCCCTCAGTTCGGGAAGGACATTGAGGTGCTGGAGTGGGTCCTCCAGAGGAGGACTATGGAGGTGAAGAAGGGCCTGGAATACAAGGGCTATGAGGAGAGGCTGAAAGAGCTGGGGGCATCTAATCACTCTTTACAACTCCCTGAAAGGAGGGTGTAACCAAGTAGGGTTTGGCCTCTTCTCCCAGGTAACAAAGGGCAGGACAAGAGGACACAGTTTAAAGTTGTGCCTGGGGAGGTTTAGGTGAACGTTATAATATCTGAAGAATTGAATTATGATATCTGAAGAATTTCTTCACAGAAAGGGTGATCACTGTCCCTGGAGGTGTTTAAGGAAAGACTCAGTGTCATGGCCTAGTTGACATGGTGGTGTTCAGTCATAGGTTCGACTCAGTGATCTTGGAGGTCTTTTCTAAGCTGATTCATTCTGTGATTCTGTACTACATTATAACTTTATAATTATTTGATACATTATTTTCTGGTTTAAGAACATTGAAGAACTTGTCTAATGTAATTATAATTAACTTAGTGGAGTTACTCTGCATTTTTCTTGTGGAACTAGGATAAGCAGGTTTTCCTCACCTGAAACTGTGAATATATTAAAAAGCCAAGGGCAGAAATGCTTACCTGATGGTACTTTACCAGTGGGCTCTAGGCTGTGGCTCTATCCTCAACTTTCAGTGTGATATTTTCTGTCTTTTTTGAACTATTTCTCTTATATAACACCCCAAACAATTTATGAAGCTATTGTGTTGCAAGGTTCACTGACAATTTGAATCCAGTGAAGTCAGTCAATCAGTTCTAATATATTTTCTGCAAGATTCCAACCAAACTTAGGTTTCTGTAAAACAGGTAAATAAAATACTTTCCCTTTCCCTCCACAAAGGGGATTGGGAAGAACAGGACAAAGTGAAAAGATATTTATTTCATAGGGAAAGGGGGTTTATGTTTACACTCCACTTGTAAGGAAAAATATTCTCTTTCTCATGGCTTATACTTCCAAGATGCCTGTTGGAATAAAAGTTTTAAGAGGTGAATCTCCTACAAATGCAGATGTCTTTGCTGATTAATATCCTCTTAAGGGTTACATGAGGTATAATATACTGACACATGATAGGGTTAAAATGATAATTGTTAAAAAACCATATAATATGGGCTTGCTCTTGGTCTATTACCTTGATTTTTTTTTAGAGAATATAGTAATATGAAAGGAATGGAGAGGGGAACCTTTTACACAGGAATAGTCCCTTCCTTTCCACCCTATGCTACAATTTTCATTATGCATGGTAACAAGAGAAGATAGAAGGAAGTATAATTTTATTTGAAAATAACACATGCATCTCAAGTGTTACCAGCTTGTCTAATTCTGTGCTTTCAAGAGAGACTTTAAATGCTTGCTGTAAGGCAAAACTTCCCTTGCCTGGGAATTACAGAATACTTCAGCGAGCTTTGCTGGATTGCTAAGGAATAAATGAATTTGGCTCTGTAAGTATGACATAGTGTACTTTAAATATACAAAACAAGGCAAAGGAAATTGTAAGTAAAGCTTTTTATCCCAGAGTATTGGAATCAATGAGCAAGGGCATAATTTAATCTCAGATCTTTATTATTGGTGATGATGGAAGAGCATGAAATAAACCAGTTTTGCTTTCCAGTCCCAAGTTGTCCAGAGGAGAGAGATTTGAAGAAAAACCATTGCAGTTCAAGTATACTTGAGCCAGAGATCAGAGAAAAAAATGAGGCTTTTCAAAATAAGTGTGCTCTACAGTTATTTTTCAAAACAGCTTTATACATTAAGAGGTACAATAAGTCATGCATTAAGTAACTGGAAATTGTTCCCTCCTTTGATTTATTAAAAAAAAAGAAGAAAAAGGAAAT